ATTGACAAACAGAGGACATGTGCAGAGAAAAATCACACTATAATAAAAATGTGACAGACATTTATCAAGACTGAATGTAAAACATAAAATTAGACCATGGACTTTGAAAAAGAAGAACAATAAAGACAGTTAAAATTCTAAGTGGTAATAAAACAAAATACAGTAACATGGGAAAAAAACAAAAATTTTGTTCAACGATCATGATTGAATGTTTTTAGTAAAACATCAGTGTAAACATATTTTATGGAATTAAAGTATTTTTAGTTTTCTTTTAATACCCCAATGTTCATACAGCAAAGCTGTCTAATTGCAAGAAGAAGGGAAAAGCCTGAACCATCTATAGTGGTGCTTGAATGTTTGTGAAGACTTTTGAATTTTCTGTATTTCTGTAAACATATGAACTAAAACATCATCAGATTTTCACACAAGTCCTAAAAGTACATAAAAAGAACCCAGTTAAACAAATGAGACAAAAAATATTATAGTTAGTCATTTATTTATTGAGGAAAATTATTCAATATTACAGCCAGCACAGTGGTACAACTGGTAGAGCTGCTGCCACTCAGTGAGCAGGTCCCTGGTTCAAATCCCGGTCCGGGGGCCTTTCTGGGTGGAGTTTGCATGTTCTCTCCGCGCATGCGTGGGTTTTCTCCAGGTACTCTGTTTTCCTCCCACAGACCAAGAACGTGCATGTTAGGCTGATTGGTAACTCTAAATTGTCCCTAGGTGTGAGTGAGAGAGTGAATGGTTGTTTGTCTCATTTGTCTCTATGTGTCCCTGTGATGGACTTGCGACCCATCCAGGGTGTACCCCACCCCTCGCACAGTGATTGCTGGACATGGGAACCAGCGACTCCCGTGACCCAAAACGGAAGAAGTGGGTAAAAGATAATGATGGATGGATATCTGTGAGTGGTAAAAGTATGTGAACCTTTATGATTATCAGTAATTTGTAGGTGAAACTAGAGTCAAGTGTTTTCAATCAATGTGATGATGATCAGGTGTGAGTGGGCATCCTGTTTGATTTAAAGAACAGGATCTATCAAAGTCTGTTCTTCACAACATGTTTGTGGAAGTGGATCATGACAGGAACAAAGGAGATTTCTGAGGACCTCAGAAAAAGAGTTGTTGATGCTCATCAGGCTGGAAAATATTACAGAACCATCTGTAAAGAATTTGGACTCCACCAATCCACAGTCACACAGATTATGTACAAATGGAGGAAATGCAAGACCATTGTTGTCCTCCCCAGGAGTGGTCAACCAACAAAGATCACTCCAAGGCGTGGAATAGTCAGGGAGGTCATAAAGGACTCCAGGGTAACTTCTAACAACCGAAGGCCTCTGTCACATTGACTGATGTTGATGTTCATGAGTCCATCATCAGGAGAACACTGAACAACAATGGTGTCATGGCAGGACTGCAAGGAGAAGCCACTGCTCTCCAAAAAGAACATTGCTGCTCGTCTGCAGTTTGATAAAGATCACGTGGACAAACCAGAAGACTGTTGGAAGAAAGTTTTGTGGACGGATGAGACCAAAATAGAACTTTTTGGTTTAAATGAAAAGTGTTATTTTTGGAGAAAAGAAAACTGCATTCCTGCAGAAGAACCTTATCCCATCTGTGAAACATGGTGGTGGTAGTGTCATGGTTTGAGCCTGTTTTGCTGCATCTGGGCCAGGACAGCTTGCCATCATTGATGGAACAATGAATTCTGAATTACTGTATATCAAAGAGTTCTGAAGGAAAATGTCAGAAAATCTGTTCATGAACTGAATCTCAAGAGAAGGTGGGTGACCTAAGACCCTAAGCACACAAGTGATTCTACCAAAGAATGGTTGAAGAAGAATAACGTTCATGAAGAAGAATTAAAGTTCTCCAAGCCGGTGTGCAGGACTGATCAACAGTTACCAGAAACATTTAGTTGCAGTTCTTGCTGCACAGGAGAGTCACACCAGGTACTGAAAGCAAAGGCTCACATACTGTTGTCACTCACAAATATGTAATGGTGGATCATTTACCTCAATAAATAAATGACCAAGTATATTTTTGTCTCATTTATTTAACTGGGTTCTTTTTATCTACTTTTAGGACTTGTGTGAAAATCTGATGATGTTTGAGGTCATATTTATGTAAAAAATATAAAAATTCTAGGCTTCACAAACATTCAAGCACCACTGTACACATTTCAAATAAATAATTAGTTTCAGAGAATCAACTTACTGGAATGTCCTGTTTGCCTGGATGTCTATCTTTACCAGGTTCTCCATGTGGTCCAGCACGGTCTGGAGTCAGTTCTGAAGACAGGTGGTGTCCAGGGGGCCCAGGAGGCCCAGGAGGCCCTGGTGGACCAGGAGGACCCTGAGGGTAAGATAATATTGTTGATTCTCTATGTATATTACCTGATGTCAGATTATTGTATCTGAGTTTGAGTTTGGTTTCACCCTGATGAGTTCAGCATCGCTGTCCAGATCTTCAAACCCAGAACCCAGAGCGTCTGGTCCATACTGAAACACATCACGAGATGTTGCTTTTTCTGACATCATCTAAATTTACAATGATTTGTAATATTTGACATTTTGTTGCTTACAGGCACACTGCGGGAACGATGGGGCCCAGGGGGTCCTGGAAGGCCAGGGGGACCTGGTAAACCAACTCCTGGGTCTCCCTGTAGAGGGGGACAATATGAGAAGAACACAATGAAAACTCGGGCAATAATCTGTTTTTATCTGTTGACAGATAATTCAAAAGACCTGATGCTTCATTTAGAAAACATAAAAATTGTAAAAAAAAAAATAATAAAAAATGGTCAAACAAAATAAAAACTTTCCACTTTCTTGTCACTCTTATTTACGCTTTTGTGTAAGAATTGTTGTTAACCTTTTTTGTTTTTTTTCCTCACTCGCTTTGATACGAGGCGGACACTATCTCTTCCCTCTCCTGTTCTCTTCCTGCTTTTTTTGCTCTCTGTCCAGAGAGCTCCTATTTTTACACATCTTCCGAAATGAAAACTACTGTTATGGATCTGACCAACTGGACTCTCGACACAATTGACAAAATATTTTAAACAAAGCAACAGGGTCCTGGAGAGCCCTCATGTTCCGCTGAGAATCTCAGGAGGATGCCGAAGACATATACAATTGGATTTATGATAACAGGTTTCCTGCTTTTTGGAAATCGGCTGGTTCCTGGTCTATCAACATACAAAGAAGACACCTGCAGCTAATTTGGCCATCATCAGGCTGCCTGCTTGTTTGGTTTGTGCTTTGAGGACTCAAAATCAGCTGATTTATGAGCTAAACCATAAAATGGAAGTGATTTGTGAGAATCGCAGGCCACCTGCGGCTTTGGGACTCATCAGCATAAAACGAACTTGGAAGGACTCATGGGCACGGACCATTAGAATGCACCCTAATCTGGCCATTTCGGACCTTGAAAGTACCAGTAAGACTCAAGGTTGACAAGAAAAATAGTCTGTCTGAAAAAATCAACAGTTGTGGCTTATCTGAATCTGACTCCCCGGTTGGCCTCGAAAACAGTCTGACTTATCAAATTGCTCCTGGGAAATGTGTAAACTAAGGAAAACCTTCGTCTATCGACACCCCACACCCCCGGGAACTTTTGTGGAGGCTTATCAGAACTGTGCCGGCTGACCTTCATCTTATCAGGACAATGGACTATCCATTAGTGCTTCATGGACCGCCTTATTGTCAAAGCATATGTAATGTGTTCATAAATGTGCTTGCTGGCAGAGTTTTTTTGATGTCTTATATCGTGTCTTGTTAGGACAAGGTGTGAAGAGATCTTTTTTGTAATGCCACTATCATCTCCTCATGGCTTTGTCCCTTTTTCTATGTAAAAAATGTATTCTGAAAAGGATAAGAGGCTGCACTCTCAAGGAGCAGCAGCTATGTGCACTCTGCCCATCTTTCGGACGACTGTGTGGACATAATTCAGATTTAAATCACTCCTTGGTCTGCTGCCTACATCTCCTCCTACATATCACTGCGTGAGTGCAGCTACAGCATGCACTCTCAGGACATTATTACCTGCAGTGTCCCCTCAGTGAGGACTGAATTAGGCAAAAGGGCCTTCTCCTACTCCACTCCTGTTTCCTGGAATATCTTACAAAAAGATCTGAAGCTCTCGACCTTGACCTCTCTAAGAGGTTTCAAATTGCTCAATTCATGGCAAAAACCAGTGTGGACATGTTCCTGTTTTTAGTATCTTATATCACTTTATAATGTAGCTGTTTTTGTTTGTTTGTTTAAACATAATTTTCTTCAATTAATTTTTCAATTCATATGCTTCCTCATATGATTGTCCACTATTGTCATTGTTCTTTGTTAAAAACAGGTCTCTCTTGTACACAGTAAATGAGTCCCTGAGGCTCAATGAGACTAACCTGTATAAATAAAGGTTGAATGAATGAAAGAAGAGAGAGAGAGAGATAACTTAGATATGCATATGGGTTATGAAAACAATTGAGAAAGTATGTTCCTTAGATCCCAGATTCGAGAAACTGAATAGTTTCCTTTATTTTTAATTACCCCACTGAAAAGGTCTAAACTAACCATGTGCCACAGCTTGTAAAAAAGACTAACTCCTCCGCTGCTATCAGTAACTTTTTTCATAGTGGTCATTCATATAATTATAAGAAACAAAATCTGATACATACAATGAAACAAGTTAAATATGACATTTTATATAAACTATCTGCAGGTAGCAAATTGTGTTTGTGTTTCAGTTCAGTTCAGTGTACGGGCCCTTTAGGTCAATTTATGTCACTCTGAAACATAAGTTTTATTTATTTATTTATTTACATGATTTAGAGTTTTAAATATTCTTGTTATTATTACTCAGTAATGATCTAGCACTCATGTAGTGTTAGGCTTGAAAAGATCAAACATGTTTTCCCCAGGTCTGAAAGAAGTTCATACAAATGTGTTGTATCTAATCAATTTGAATGGGTGTTTTAAAAGCACCTTTTCTCCTTTGGCACCAACTTCTCCATTTAAACCTGGAAAACCCTGAGGTCCCCTCTGACCCTGATGGTTAAAAACAAATAACTGTTAGAGTAGGGCGTGTAAAGTACAGCAATAAAATCTTAAAAAGTAAAAAAAATAAAGTTACTTACTAGTTCACCTTTGTCACCCTTGCTTCCCTGTGAAGGAAACATTTACAGCCTCAAAAAGAACGGCTCAGAATCATTTGCATGGTATTTAATGGGGTTTGTTTGAAAACTAATGCTGTGAAGGTGTGTTCAATTATAATTTTGCCAACAAACCTTTTGTCCATCTTGTCCTGGTTGTCCAGGGGATCCTGTTGGTCCTTGTGGCCCAGCTGGTTCAAGCTTCTCTTTGAGTACATGGCTAGGCCCTGGAGGACCAGGTGGACCAGGTGGTCCAGGATCACCACGCTCCCCCTTAAACCCAGGCCAGAGATGACCCTGCAAAAATACTAAGTCATAAATGTCTGTAGGAAGCACAAGTTGGAATCAGACATCTTGTTAAAGTTCCAATGAACTCAGACAGTCTGTAGGGTTTTTGAGTTTTATCTGGCAACTAATGTTTGTTCCAGTGTGTGAATAAAGAACAACCAAAAACTTTCAAATCTATTTATCTTTAAGTTGAAGAGATCAGTACTTCCTGAAAACGTGCATGACTGACTGTGCGCCAGAGCAGAATGTTTTACAAAAGTCCACATCTGAACTCACATGGCCTGATGGCTCTCCGGGCTCCTCTATCTGCTGTGAATCTGCACACAGTATGTGACATGATCAGACCAACCAGTTTAATTCAAACACGCAAACATTATATTGTTAAAACAAGTCACAACAATTACTTCTGAACTCATGGAAGACAGCCAAACTCATAGCTTTGCAATTTCTTTGCACGCTTGAGCAACTTGTGTTTATTCACTGAAACGCACACTGTTATTTGAAGCAAATTGACTCTTTTTCCAAAAAAATAACATAATGTTTATTAAATCACGTAGGTTTTCTAGAAACAAGCTATAGCTCTATACTTAGGTTTGTACTGACCTATTATCAGTTCTTCATTGGTTGATGTTGGAGTCATGTGACTTGAATACTCATAAAGCTCCGCCTCTGGAGCCTCAGTGGGTGGAGCTCTGACTGGAACACTGTCCTCCCCCTTAGACAAATGGAAAATAATATAAAAATCTGTACACAGATAAAATCAAAAATGTTTTCTCTATGAAAAATAACTCCATCACATAATATTTCAGTACAGTCAACTTCAGTGTCAGGATTAAATGACTAGATTTGTGCACAAAAGTTAGGATGAATGTTTTATGAAATTTATGCTTTAAGATTATTTGAAATCTGGACATCCCAAATGTCTCATGAACATCTCAAAACCAGACATCAAAGCATCCTGTGTGCCTTTTAGATGTGGTAACAACAAATCTCCTTCTCAGGGACAGATTCCTTTGAAGCTTTAAAATCAGACTTTGTTTAGAGACGTTTGAGGTCAGACTGACTTCTAGGATGTAGGAGGACTGAAGACAACAAACAAAAAGAAAAGCTTTCCGGCCCACCATCCAACAACCTACCATCAATTTTCTCTCCTCTACCCCCTTCGTTGAGACGACTTCCGTTTCTCTATCATCCAGAGCATCATCTCCACTCGCATATCCCGAGGCCTGTACCAGTAATTTACTCATATTGTCATGGAAACTGTGTCAAGCAATGATTAACAGTACAGTTTAGAAGGTCTTGAGACATACGTTTGCCAAGTACGTTTTAATCAGTCTTGCTTCTTTCTGAAGGTCTTTCAAAGGTTTTCTCTGTACATTTACAACTATTTTATGTTTTGTGTCAAGTCTTTGATCACATTCATCTATTTCTTGTTTTTGTTCAGTCACATACAACTTGTCTGAAAGAGCTATGCTTCAGACAGCACGTTTATAAAGTCAGAACACAGTGAAGACAGCTGAATGAATAAGAGCATTATAAAAGGTATCTGAGTCAAGGGATGGGTTGAAACTGTGATTACAAAGCACTCTTATTTTGGACTAAAAATACAAGTTGTCTATCAATAACAGGGGATCTGTAACTATTGGACAAACAAGAGGTTGTGCTTGTCTTACATAGGGATCGTCTTCTTCACATTGCTCCTCAGCTGCTCTGGGATCATCTTTTATAATCAGCTGCTGAATAGAACCCTGCAGAGATACAAAAATGGAAACGAGAAAGAGTCAGAGGTTCTTTATTTGTCGTACACATTACATGTGGTACATGTGGTGGAACAAAATTTTGTACACAGGGTCCCAGTTACATCCAACAATAAAATGTAAAAGAAAAACAGTAATAACATCTAAGATATGAACTAAGAAAAACATCAACTAAAAATACGCTAAGCACTAGTAGAATAAAAACAATACACCGAACAGCAGCACGAACATGAGTCTGTGTGAGCAGATTAACACGGATGAACACAACATGAAACAGATCAGCAGCAACATTGAAACAGATCAGCAGCAACATGAAACAGATCAGCAGCAACATGATGTGATTTTTCACAGTGATTATCCTGATTAGAGATTCATGAGTCTAACAGCCTCAGGGTAGAAGCTGCTCCTAAGTCTAGTTGTTCTACACTTAATGCTCCTCAACCTCCTTCCTGAGGGGAGTGGGGCAAAAAGTGTGTGTGCTGGGTGAGTGGGGTCCTTCATGATGCAGGTGGCTCTGTTCCTGCATCTGGAGGTGTAAATGTCTGTGATGGTGGAGACTGACTCCAACAGACTTCTGTGCAGCCTTCACCACTCTCTTCAAAGCTTTTCTTTCTGCAGCTGTGCAGCCTTCATGTCACACGTTGATGCTGGAGCACAGGATGCTCTCCACTGCACACCTGAAGAAGGAGGTGAGGACTGAGCTCCCCAGACCAGCTCGTCTCAGCTGCCTGAGGAAGTAGAGTCTCTGATGAGCTGTCTTGATCAGGCTGTTGTTGCCCCAGCTGAGGTTGTCATACAGGTGCAAACCCAAGTACTTGTAGCTGGTGACCACTTCCACCGAAGATCCTCCTATGTTTGTGTGTGTGTGTGTGTGTGGGGGGGGGGGGGGTCCTTCTGAAGTCCACGACCATCTCCTTCATCTTTTTCACATTGATGTGAAGGTTATTCTCTTTGCACCAGCTCTCCAGGTGTTCCACCTCCTGCCTTTAGCTGGACTCATCATTGTTTGTGATGCATCCAACCACCGCTGTATCATCTGCAAACTTTACAATGTGACAGACTGGATGGGTAGGTGCACAATCATACGTGAGCAGAGTGAACAGAAGAGGGCTCAGCACACAGCCCTGAGGGGAGCCAGTGCTGAGGGACATGGTGGAGGAAGAGAAGTTGTGGAACGTCACTGATTGTGGTCTGCTTGTTAAGAAGTCTAGGACCCAGTTGCAAATGGAAGGGCTTAGTCCTAGTGTGAGCAGTTTGTCCATCAGGGTTTGGGGGATCATGGTATTGAAGGCAGACGTGAAGTCCACAAAGAGCATACGGATGTAAGAGTTTTTCTGCTCCAGGTGGTTGAGCGCAGTGTGGACCACAGAGGAGATGGCATCCTCTGTTGATCGGTTCTCACAGTATGTGTACTGGTGAGGGTCCTCATTGATGTTGATGGTTGTTTTGATGTGGGTCATGACTAGTTTTTCAAAGCATTTAGCGACTTTCGGGGTGAGGGCTACTGGCTGATAGTCATTCAGACCAGTCACTATAGAACTCTTAGGGACTGAGATGATGGTTATGGTCTTCAGGCAGGTGGGAACTGTTGTCAGGGTGAGGGAGGAGTTAAAGATGTCGGCCAGCACCTCGCAGAGCTGGTTGGCACATTCTTTCAGCACCTTCCCGATGATGTTGTCTGGGCTGGTTGCTTTGTGAGGATTAATCCTCCTGAAAGTTCTCCTTCAGCTGAGGTCACGCTGAAGAAAGATGCACCTGGTGTGTTTACTTGTTTAAGGAAATAGAAAATGCTATTGCTCCTACAAATGGAGGTCCAACTCATTCAGGAAAGCTTTTGGGTTCAAGCTTCTCTTTATAAACTGACTACTTTTTTTGTAGGAGGGGAAGAGAAAGAAGGACTAAAATCCTTATATCTCAGGCATCAAGGACGTTTAGCCATTTGTTGCATGAGATCATTGGATAGCAATTCAAATACTGTAGTATAATTATGAAGAAAAAGCTAATTGACCTAATGTTACAAACCAATTCATACAGATAAAGAGTACCATTTAGCTGCTATAAACAAGGCTTATGAACGTTTATGCAGACCCTAACCTATTTATTTTCAGTTTTAGTTTATTTCGTCTCTTTCTTTCTACATACGGAGAACATGGAACCTTCTAATAACCTAAAAATAATTTTACCAGAACTCAGATAATATATTGATGTGTTTGTAGTGCACATTATGAAAAGCTTTTCATTATTTGGGCCAATAATCATACCACAGCATCCACTCATAAACACAATGATTGGAAGGTGGCCCAGCATGACTGCTTCACCAGCCCAAACTCGCACATTTAGTGACCCAGAAAGAAACGATGGGACAAAGCAAGATCAGATTTTGTTCTCATGCTTCAGATAGCTCTTTCAAAAAGTCAGGGCACAGTGAAGACAGCTGAATGAAGTGAGGATGGCCACGTTGTGTCACCATGGTAACATGGCCTGACTACCAGCAGAGATGAGGACTGATGGTGATTGCTGTTGTTGTTTCAGTGTTTGGGCATTTTGAAGCTGCTTCTCTGGGTTAAAAACCTGGTTCCACAAAATATATTTCTTTGATCTTGATCTAAGATCATTATAAAATGAAAAAAAAAAGTCTAGATTGGCAAACAGAATAATAACATGCCAGACTTTCACAACTGATATAGTCCAAGGCCTTAATTGTGCCTTTGATTTGACAACAACTAAGCCTTGCTGACATTTCTAACTTCCACATCTGTGATCATTTTACACCCCCAAAATTTTCATACTGTTACTTCCTTTGCATTACTCCCTTCCTGTTCCTCCTTCTCTGTTATTTCCTCCTGTCATGCCTCCTCTCTGCCCCTGATCTTTAAAAGCATGTGGAATAAAGCCAGCAAATGATGCAAAATCCCAAGAGTTGGAGTGTTGTTGGAGCCATCACATTTGAATTTGTTTATTCAGTATGGTACAGTATGTCCATTATTTTCAATTTGTACCTACTTCACTGAATCTGGAAGAAAATAATGGTTAAGGAAGAGCTTTGTCAACAGACTGAAAAAAATCAAAAACATTTCTAACACCACAGTTCAGTTTTTAGTTATGGTGCATGGACTGCCTGTAAATCTAAATAAACATGTGTTTCTATTGAAACTGAAATAATATTCATTTAACTCTGTATTAATTAAAATCAAAGTTGAACCACAGATTTGTGGTGCACATTTCTTCCCACAAATCTTCAACAATAAGGTCAGTAAATCTAAAAAAGTTAAGTCAGGTCCTCTGGACGGGTAAAGTCAGTAAAACTCCAGTTGCTGTACTTGCTTTCAAGGTGCTGTGAACCCACCTCCAGCATTAATCTTTGAGGGTCTTGACAGAATCCTTTCCACCACTCCAGCTAAACCTGCCCATACACCAGTTGTCAGGTGGGTCTAACTGGCCCCATCTCCACCTCCCCACATCAAAGTTCTCCAATTGCACATCTGACTATCAAGGGTCTCCTGTTGAGTGACTCTCCTGTCCACTCTCCAGATGTTTATTGCTGCTGGTCATCTTTTCATCTGTCCTCTTTCTAGTCATCACATACTCTAATCTTCAGCTTGGTTTCCTGCTTTTGGGTGTTCTGTTTTTTTTTATGTTTGTTAATTATGTAATTTTTTCAATTGGCTGTTTGTTAGCATTAACCTTTAGCCTCGCTAGCACTCCACTTGCTTCCCCCCTCTTCTTCGTCCATGCTTCCACTTACCCTTGGTCTGCTGCTTCTTCCACGCCGATGTCCATAGTAGCTGCAGTCTGCCTAGCGTAGCTCTCAAACTGTGTTTCATCGTTGCTGTTTTTGAAGCCAAACCCTCTCATATGCTAGCAAGTTTGGTCACATGCTCAAGATGAGTGAAGTCGGACTCAGAGCTGAAGTGAAAACATAACTGGGTTTTCACCGAGAGCCTGAGAAGCCACTGCACTGCTGTACACCGCTGCGCACACCGCTGCGCACACCGCACACCGCTGCGCACACCGCTGTGTACCGCCATCTTAGTCTTCAGAACTGCCATGAGAAAGCAAAGCATTTTGCAGCTCTTTGGCTTGTTTTTGCAAAGACTATTCCATTTCTTTTGAGACCTGATTGCTTTTGCACAACTTCTCGTTGATCTCAAGGCTGTCTATCTTCAAGGCCTCATTCTGTTGTTTCAAAGTCATTTTCTGCCTTCAACTAGTTACGTCCGGTCAGAACAGCTTGAAGCTACTGGCTCTCGTGCGGAAGCGATCCTCACACAGATGTCTGGCTTGCTGCTGAACTCTGTCTTCTAAAACCTGTTTTTCCTCAGTCAGGGAGGAAATTAGCTGACTCAATGTCTTACGGTGATATTCTGAACCAAGAAGAGCCATCAAGGTTTTTTATTTTTGTATTCATTATTTTTTGAGTTCTTCATCTTTGTCTGATGAGGCTCGATGGCTCTCAAGCAGCTTTTTAATGGCCACAGAAACGTTTTTCTTTAAAACCTGGTTTTGTTGCAGCAAGTCCTTGCTGATCTTTTTTTGCCACAGCAAGGTCAATTTCAAGAAGCTATAGTTTGATCAAGACATTTTGTAGCTCTTCATTTGGTTTTTGGTGTGGGAGGAGGTAAAGGTTTATCAACCAAACAGATTCTGCAACAGATAAAGACGTGTTTACTTACCACAAAATTATCGAGCCCTGTGCTTCCTGCATTTGCTACAAATACGCCAGAGTTGCGTGAGAAGGTGAGTTTCTCTGGCCTCCGATGAAAGGTGGTCCTCTCAGCCTCTCCACAGTCCATGTAGAGACGCACCTCATTATCCTCCACCACCAACTACAGGCAGAAAAAAACACCACAATCAGAAATATGTTCATTTCCTTGAGGGTTTAAAACATTGGTATTGTATTTGGCGCAATTTACCAAATAATAATAATGCTCTTTCTCTAGACAAAAATGTGAAGATCTGCTTCATTTAAGAAAGTAAACTTTACTCCAGAGTCCTGTTGCATTGATATTTGACCGAAAATGTAGGACTATTCTTTTTTTTTTTCTGTAGAGTGGCTTATAACACAACTATGGCATGGTGGTGAAAATATAATGTTGTCTTTGTGGATTTAGGAAAAGTATATGAACAGGAGCAGAAAGAGAAGCTATGGTGATGTGTGAGGAAACCTGGAGTTTGTTAGATTGGTACAGGATATGTATAAAAAAAAATATTTGTACACATCCTTTATGATTATTATTGTCGTTGTTGTCCACTGTTGTCATCACTCTTTGTTAAAATCAGGTCTCTCTTGTAAATGAGTCCCCGAGGCTCAATGGGATTAACCTGTCTAAATAAAGGTTGAATGAGGATAGAGAATAGTGGTGAATTGTGCTCCAGGAGTGACAGATGTTGTCACAGTTTACACTCTGTTTTTCCTTTTATTTATCACTCTGTTCGCTGTTTGATATTCTTCTCTGCTCCTCTGGTATTTTCCTCTGCTGCTTCTGACAGCCTGCTGCATGTCACACCTCTCTCTCTCTCTGATTACTGCTGATGGTCTCCACCTGTTTCTGGGTGTATTTATACTTCCTGCTTTCTTCACTCTTTGCCAGATCAACTGCTTGCTTTTGTCACAGTTATCCAGCGTTTCCATAGTCTCACAGCTCTTTGTATCTTGACCCACGCCTGTTTCCTCGACCACGCTTTTTGCCTGCCCCTTTTGTTCCTCAGCCCTTCAGACCTTGTTAATGACCTTTGCACATTTTTGGATTTCGCCTTCGCCTCTCCCTTTTGGTACTGTCGCTTTTTCGGATCCCGTTAATGAACTCTGCTCGTCCTCGACTACGCCTCTGGATTCTCCTTGGTCCCTGCAGCTCTGTGTCTCTGCTGAGCAGCCCCCGACAACAAGAAAGGTTAGTGTTTTTCCAGACCGTCTGTATTCAGATAACTGTTGTTATTCTGTCAAAACACTAACCTCTCCTCTGTATTGTTTTAGACACAGTTCCAGCTCTGGACCCGAATCATCAGAAGCTGTTTATTCATTCAATAAACATTTTAAAACCATTCTGAGTTTGTGTGTGGGATCCTCTGCCATCAGATCCCTGACAGATGTGGAGGTGGAACTGCATCACGGACAGGCTCTGAGCCGTGACACCTTAGGCAGGATTTTATGTTCAAGGATTCAAGGTTCTTTATTGTCATTCGCACCACATGTGGTACATGAGGTGGAACAAAATTGTGTACACAAGATCCCAGATACACTACATACAGTTATGTGGCACCCCATGTGCAATTTTATAAACCTCACTGCCAATTTGCATACATATCCATGGAGGTAAGTTTTTAACAATAAAAACTATATACATATATATATTCTGCCGGGCTAAAATTATGTGCTTGCCGGGTGGCTCAGGTTGGTCTTGGGCTTTTGATGGGGTTTTACGAATCATGCAGCACAAAGAAAATTAAACAAGTATGCACAATATAAAATTGTGTTAATATACTTGTTAAGGAGGAGGCAGTAATAGGCCTGTCATGATGAACAATAAATCAATTAATCACATGATAAATGAAAATTATCAACCTCATTTTCATTTATCAGATTTATCGTTTCTTCGTGTCTCTCTCTTTCTACTGAAGACAAGGCTCAACTCTGGTGCTCTTCAATGACCCTTCCCTTTCTCTTTAAAATCCGTTTTAAACCGTCCACAATTACGTTTTTGGATCATTAAAAGCAGCTAAGCTACGAGCTAAGCTAATAGACCGACCTCTGGAAAAAACCTCCGTCTTGTCAAAGCTCCAAAATTCATGGTAGAAACACGTGCCTTCGCATAAAAAGTTGTTTTATTGGGGTGGAGTTCTTACAAAAAGAAGCTGAGAAGTTGTTTACTATTTTTTTTTTTTTATTAAAAGCTTTGTGTGACAAATGCTATGCTAAAGAGCTCAAATCACACCGAGCAGCTGTCATTATGAGAACCAAAAAACAGGAACAAGAGACAGCCCATGTCACGTCAAAGGGCCTCCCTCCCATTTTTCTTAAAGAGACACACTGCTCGCTCCCTCACTATCCATCCTTCAATTCAAACAGTCTTATACTGCCATCCAGTGGTCAAAAAGGTACTACACACAAAATTAACCAACATTTCTTCTTAAATTTGACATTTACTAATTATTGTCAAATTTCAAACAATATTATCATTTATTGCAACATTTTTCAAGACAATTAATCGCCCAGTAAAATTTTTTATTGTGTCAGGCCTAGCAGAAATGCCCATTTTCCATTTGTCCTGTACGGCACAGTTCGACTCAGCTCTGCATGGTTTGGTATGGTACAGTTGTGTTTCCATAACACTTTCAGCAACAGTTATAGTGAGTGGGTTCAGTCCAAAAATTGACACCACATGTCTTACCAGCTGGTGGTGGTAGTGCTCCATTAAGCTATTTACTAGCCACCACTAGACTATTAGAAGAAGACCCTGAAATATATACAACAAAAATGGAGGATATCGTAGCTTTGTTGAACATTCTGCTCAGTCTGAGGCTTTTTATCAAACGTCAAAGAGAAGAGACCCAGAAAAGGCTGCGGGCAGCGAGGTGAAAGACTGGAAAAGTACAGGAGAGTGTGGGAAGCCATAAAGATGCGAGTTAGACGACGTGTGACGGTAAGCTAATGCTAATCTGTTATAGCGTATAGATATGTATACATATTTTTTACTGTAGTTTATCGTTGTCATTGTATACTGTTTTGTTGTCTGTACGTAATATGTTCTGTCTGGAACAGGTCCCTCTTGAAAATGAGTCCCCGTGGCTCAATGAGGCTAGCCTATATAAATAAAGGTTGAATGAATGAATTAAAATTCCCAAACAAATTTAAATAGTTTTGTTATTTACATTATCTTTTACCTTTAGAAACTAGGTTACCCAAATAAAATAGTTAATAACAATATACTGAATTTGAAACTGGATATCAGAAGCCTGCATAATACCTGCCAACAATGCTGATGAGGAACACCCATTTACATTAACAAACAACTGAGAAACAAAGCAGTCCTATGGGGCACACACCCCCAAAATTATAAAAACAAACCTATTCAAAACTACATTTTCCAGCCAAGTGAAGATCAATTTACTAATAAAAGCTAAAATACTGGGGCCTCATGTACAAAGGGTGTGTATGCACAAAAACATGGTGTATGCCCTTTTCACACAAAACTTCAGATGTAACAAGAAAGAAATGACCTTAGAAATGTGTGCAGCCCCACACCAACTTCATGGCTGGCATACACCAATTTTTATGGTTTTTGGTCCATTGGTAACACTTGGAGGTGATACAAGGAAACTGTTAATGATGTGAAAACTATTATTGTACACACCAGACACACAACCAACAATTACATACACATGTATGCAATTAAATGAATGGATATAAAAGCCTGTGCAAAGAGGTGCAGAAAATACTTTTAACAACAATGGGTTTAGCCTTGTTAGAGGATATAGCAAATGGTGCAATACATAGAGAGTGTGTATTCAGAGACAGAAAGGATTTTCTGGCCCGTGATGACGACTGGCTTATCGGCCATTTTAAACTTTCAAGTACAATCCTTTAGGAACTGTGCTTGGAGCTGTGGCCAGTCTTGGAGCGCAACTCAGTGAAGAGCCGTGCGTTGCCTGTACACAAACAACTGCTGACCACACTGGGATTCGTAACAACAGGGGCATTCCAGAGGGAGCTAGCAAACTGATCGGGACTGTGCCAGTTGACCATGAATCAGCCATTCTAGCTGTGTGGGAGGGAATTATCTGTACCAGGTATCTCAAATGCCTACAATGGAGTTGAACAGGCCAACATTAAAACACAATTTGCAGCGACAGCCAGTTTTCCTAAAGTAATCAAAACTATTAATTGCACACTCACTGCAACAAAAGCACCATCACAGGATGAATATGATTACCAGTACATTACTAGGAAGTATTTTCATTCAATCAATGTGCAAATTATATGTCATATGTAAAAGCAACTAACTAGCATTGAGGTGAGGTGGCCTGGTTTAACACATGATTCATTCATTCTAATGATAAAAGGGTGGGGGGGTCCTCTCATCTCCCTTGATGGACCAGAGATGTATCTAGTGCACCTAATACAGTTAGTTCACTAAGTAAATCACACCATTGATTGCTCCCAAAAAAAGCACATTTCATTTGTACAAAGTAATATTGTAAATATAGCCAATATTTCACAGCTTATTTGTGTGAAACTGCTGAAAAAATATCACAAAAACAAATCTGCACACCAAGGAGGATGAATTTGTTTAGACCAAAGTTGTTTTGACTCATGTTTGGGGATGGGCTGTGATAACTACTCTGCTCAGGTGCCAATTACTGGTACACACATGGAAGATGGACAAGAACAGGTCAAATCCATCAGGTTCCCAGTTTAGGAAAAAAGGAAACAGAGGTAGAAAAAAGTCCACCAATTCAAAAAATAGTCAAATCCACCTGTTTGTAAGTTATAGTAGAGAAGTGAACATTTTGCCAAGTCAAGTTTCCTCTCACAGACCAAACTTCTCTAACATCCATGTCCTCTCTAACTGCATCCATATACTGTATCTCCTCTTTGGCCTTCCTCTGTTGTTTTCCTGGCAATAAATAGCATTAAATACGTATTTGTTCTGTAGCATGTGAAACTCACCGTGAACCGTGTCCATTGGTCAGTCATGTCAAGGACACTAAAAGCAGCAGCTTTATGGCTGTGGGAGGCCTGCTCTTTGTCAGTGTAGTACAGCAAGATGCTCTGGATCCCACCACGAACTGGAGTGAGACCCAAACCCAACTCTACCACCTTCTGTTTAGCGTCTGTGAAAGCAAAGAGCATGCCTCCTCTCTGGTTGGCTGGACGCACCTGGAGTGAATGAAATATAGAGGATATCAGACAAAGCTAATAAATCTGCATAAAATCTGGATTCATCTTATCAAAAGAGGGAATATTTGGACAACCTAAGCTCAAAAAAACCTTTGCAGATACATGGATCAGTAGATGAAACTGATCACTATATGAAGACTAATTAAAAGAATCATACATTGGTTGTGTGTAAGAGCTTGTGAAGGCTAACATGCTACATTCTCTCAACTGTTGCATAAAACTTAATGATAAGAAGTTTGAGAACTTTTCTTTTACACCAGCACAAATTTACAGAAACCTGCAAAAGGTCCACAACTAATGAAAATGCACCCAACAACATATTAATTTATAAATTAACAGGACAAATCAAAACTGTGAGTTAAAATAAATCTATGGAAGTAAATATGTGTTGCAAGGATTTGAATTGAAAATGCCACTGACATTTTAATGTTGCATGTTTGTATTTAATTTTTCAGTGTTAAAATATATTCTGAATACATTTTTAACCTAAAAAAATCATTGTCATTATTTCTATATGTTTGAAATTTCATTTATTATTTTCACTTCAAGGTAAAAATTCACACTATTATTTCAAAATGATCACATTTTCAATAGTTGTTTTTCAGTTTAGCTTTTCAGTGTTGAAAAATTTGACACATAAAAAACTTCAACCTTTCAAAATTCAAACGCAATACTTTCAGTGTCCTGAAATTCAACTGGCTCAATATCACCGTTTTAAATTCAATGTCTAAAAATTCAGTGTAAAAAAGGCAGGGTTACTTCAGGTCACAGACATTAGCAAAGGATTACAGAATCCAACACCAACATCCGCTTTCTTAGTCACGTGATGTTACGCTTGTTGCGCTGATTTTGAAGGAAAACAGTATCTCTGAGAAAGTCATGGAAGCTAACGCTAACACAATGGTGGGTTTAATAATTTCATTTTTCTGTAGTAATTTTTTTTATGCGCATCAAGTTTGATACTACATAAATCATACTACAGACAAAAAGAAAACATTAAACTCACCATTGAGTTAGCGTTAGCTTCATGACCGCCTCAGAGATGCTGTTTTCCTTGAATCTCAGGACATTGAGAGTAATGCGTTTGAATTTTGAAGTTTTTTATGTGCCAAATTTTTCAACACTCAAAAGTTAAACCGAAAATCAGCTACCATATTTTTTGGCCTATAAGTCATATTTTTTTGCATAATTTACAAGCCCAGAAACATAGTCCGAAGCGACATATTTATGGATTTTTCCCATATTTATAAACCATTTATTGGCTGAGATATGACCGTTTTCATTCACTCTGACTGAAAATAAATAAATAAATAAATAAAATTTGAGCAATACCACTTTCAGCCACTTGATGGCAGCAGCTTAGTAATAGCAATTGGGCGTGCTGTTGTATCATGTAATAGGTAAACATGGCTATAATGACAAATTCAAAAAATGTCAAGACTAAAACAACTGGACTTTATTTATTACACTTTATACTTTATTGTTTTTTTTCTTTAACTTTTTTGAATTTACCATGTCCTGGATGACTGAGACTCTTCACCAGCTATTAATGGCTCAATTGGCCTGCCATATATCCCGACTTTCATTCTGGTCGCTGCTTGGAACCGTCAAAACAGCTGCACCGCCCCAGCGAAAAGCAACTAATTTGACCATTAAAGTGCATTTATTAAGCAAACGTTATACTGAGACACACATTTACTATAATTTCGAGCAAATAAATAATTGTTTTTACTTGTTAATCTTGTTAAATTCTTGTTAAAGTCCTCCTGTGCACGCTCCTGCGGCCGCCGTTTGGCAGCCCATCAATTTTTGGCACAACACCGGCCCACATTTCCGGGTTGTTAGCGGTGGCGCATAACAAATGCGACGCGTCGGCAGTGACGCATAATAAATGCGACGTATACAGCGAATCAACATATTTATGGATTTTTCCACTTTATTAGACAAATATGGACTGATTCGTCTCATAGGGCGGTGCGACACGTACACCGGAAAATACGGTATTGAAAATGTGATCACTTTGAAATAATAGTGTGAATTTTTAGCTTGAAGTGAAAATAACAAATTAAATTTCAAACATATATAAATAATGACAATTTTTTAAGGTTAAAAATGTATTCAGAATATATATTTAACACTGAAAAATTAAATACAAACATGCAACAATAAAATTTCAGTGGCATTTTTAATTCAAATCCTAGCGACACATAATTACTTCCATATAAATACAACAGGTGACAATAACCTGTTCATGTATCTGCTTTAAACTAAATATTTATTGCATGGTAACAATTACACCATAACAGAGGTTTAAAATTGAATGGGATGAACTCTGTACCGTGACAATGATCGCAAAGTTCCGGTAAAATGACTCAGGCACAAAGGTTTTCGTGAGTCGTCCAATGTTGGCATCTTCTCCAAAGCTGTAAGCTGGAAAACCCTCATAGCCAGGAGTGAAGGAGACAGAAGGAGGAAGAGGAACCCCAATTAACTCCGTCAGGTCCAGATGATGTCCAGAGCCTCTGTCTGAAGGAGACAAAGAGGGAAAAGTCAAAAGGTGAAGACGGTGCCACAGGGATCATTGATGAAGAAAGGCAGGTAAAGATCTGTTAAATTACAATTTTTTTTACATTTAATCTATATTTTAAAGTGTATTTAAAAATGTTTTTATAGCCCACTAATGAAGGTGACAGAGCAATAAAGTTTCTGCTCATGTCTGTATGTGGGAGTACATTTGTCAGTGATGTTAGCAAAATAATTTATAAACCACAGAACAGATTTTAACGAAACTTGCAGAAAGTAATACCTGTATATACATTCACAACTGATTAAATCTGGGAGTTAACCTGATTCATTAAGCAAGCTTAGAAACACAAACTGGCTGCAACAAAGCCAGTTTTACAGTCACACCCAACACGAGCTACTGGTGTTTTAAATGTTCCCTTTACATATTGGATTCCACTGTGTCTGTAATGTTTTATTGACACATCTGCAATTGATCAACTTTTGGAGTCAATCTAGTTGAAGATGGACACCACAGTAAACACAAAAACAGCATCAACTCAGCCAACTTTACCAATTTTGAGCTAAAATTGGTGTGATAGTAGAGGAGCACTATCACAATATACACCGTACTCCAAGCATTGCACACTGTTTTTAATTAAAACGTTATCCTTAACTGCTAACATCTCCCTGTCTGTCTGTTAGCAAAATATCTTATAACTGTTAACATCTCCCTGTTTGTCTGTTAGCAAAATATCTTATAACTGTTAACATCTCCCTGTCTGTCTGTTAGCAAAATATCTTATAACTGCTAACATCTCCCTGTTTGTCTGTTAGCAAAATATCTTATAACTGTTAACATCTCCCTGTCTGTCTGTTAGCAAAATATCTTATAACTGCTAACATCTCCCTGTCTGTCTGTTAGCAAAATATCTTATAACTGCTAACATCTCCCTGTTTGTCTGTTAGCAAAATATCTTATAACTGTTAA